GGCCCACCTGCATGTGGTCGCTGCTGGCTCCACCTGCCGCGTGGGCCCCTGTAATAGGGGCAGGTGAGGAAGGGGCTCACTGTCTGGTTCTGGCTCTGAGGCCACATCAGAAACTGCCCACTATTAGTTACAGGCCCATCTCAGCCACATGTCTGCATGGCATCCTGGGGATGCACTCCATGTACACCTGCTCTGTCTGTGAGGTGACAGGTGGGAGCCAATCCCATGGGGTGGCTGGATCAAGTTGGGGAAACCTTGTTTGGAAAGCACTGGGGTCCCTGCCAGGCACAAAGAATGGGGAAGCGGTAGAGGAGTCATAGGAGCAGCAGAAGGAGAAAATGCATAGAGGGGAGGTTCCTGGACAGCACAGGGGAAAGGTGAGCAGGCACAGGTGGAAGGATGAAGAGCTGGGAGCCACCTTAATTTTGCACATTCTTTACTGGTTTTTTTTTTTTTTTTATTCTAATGACCAACACAGGCACTTTAAACATTTATGAAGCTACAATGACTATGGCCATGCTCTAGGTCCCATTAGAACAGCATGACTGCTGTTTAACTGGCTGCGTGGGGGTGTCACTTGCCGAGCTCAGTTTCCCCTTCTGTGAATTGAGGGGTAAGAGGAGATGACCTCTAAGGACCTTCCAAGCCCTGCCATCTGTGGTGCTGTTGAGATGGTATGACCCAGAGGAAGCACATCCCTCAGTGTCATCCATAAATTCCTTTTCCCGGCTCAGTTTTGGAGCAACGTGGGCTGCCAGGAGTTCCAGGTGATACCCCATGGCAGGTACATGGTGGGGCCCTTGTGTGATGAGGGAACCAGTGCCAAATGCATCATTCATCAGCCAGGCTGAAGGTGAAGGGACCCAACAAGGCTCAAGTCAGAGTAAAGGTCATCCACCCACCCCCAGAGGCAGGACATCAGGATTCTCCCAAAGAGAGAATTTGGAGTCTGGTCTAATGGGACCTAGAGCCTGGCCACAGTCATTGCAGCTTCAGAAATGTTTAAAGTGCCTGTCTTGGTCATTAGAATTAAAAAAAATAACTAGTAACTAATTAGGAAGGACTCTTAATTTTGCACAAGCTAACTCTGGTGTTTTCCTGAGGAAAAATGGAAATGAAACACTAGGACAATGCAGGACTTGTAGGTGTAAGCCAGTTTAATGGGTTAAGACACTTGATCTGTAACCCTTCTTCTCTTTTTTGGCAGTAATCGGATTGCTGGACTGCTTGTCTTTTAAGA